CAAGTCATGCCACTCGGCCGCCATCTTGGCAACGCCTCCGGGCAGCTATTTCGGACTAACAAGACCAGGCTCCTATCTAAATGAATGGGCAGAGTGTCAGAACTGCACTTTCACTGGTCACCGGGACATAAAAACTGCTTGTATAGAAACAGCAGTAAAATATGATAAAAATCGCTGAAAAAGTTTGATGAGTTTGCCCCAAAATAAGGTTTAAAAGGTATTTTTCCCCACAGGTTATACGTTTACTACGCATGCGCAAGGGTTCTCGTCTCCGCTGTCGCAAACCTCAACTGTGCGCATGCGTCAGTAGAACCAGACGATAGGCTTACATGTTTCCCGGCTTGACTGTTAAAAGCAGACGATTGGCTTTCCAGCGGGAGGGGCGGGGCATGTGCATACAACCACCATCTTTGGCGTTATGGGTTTTCCCTATATAGTTGTATTGAGGATTGAGGAAGTGGCATGTCTCTATATAAATTGTCTCTGCTATTACACACTAACTATTACATTGTCATTTTAGTTGATTATCTTAGTTGATTAATATTGTGTGCTGCTGTCAAATGGTTATCATTCGGCTACTGTCTGTCTGTGCAGGACACCAACAGCACACCTACGTGCAGCAGAGGTTGTACAGCCTATTGTCATCGGATTTATTCAAACCGGCCAATGGACCGTTCGATCACCGAGCGAGTCCTTCAGTGTCGGTCGTTATAGGCTTTCTGTCTATGTTGCTAAGCCATCTGCTTAGACAGAGTTATTGCGCATCATTGATCATTATTCGCACGCAAATGTTTTCTCAGTACATGATTTCTGCTATTTAGAACACAATTCGGAATTATCATGCACCAAGCAATCCTCGCTGTAGTTAAAACATTAAAACACAGCATTCCACAGAAAAAGTGTTCAAAAGCAGAGCATCCACTACATTTAAATTCATATAAAAATATTGTAACTTCTGGAAAAAGATTTCATGAAATTTCCGTGTTTAACTCCAATAATGATATGATCATATCAGATGTAAAACAGAGTTTAAATCATACTGTTTTGCTTCATTACTTCGCTCACTCCAGTAAAAGAGTATGTACAAACAGTCTAGAGTGTCCGTACGGTGCGCACATTTACACCTAGTTTATTTTTTATAGATCCCGATATGTGCGTGGAAAATTGCGTACACATTTCAATGCCTTTTTTTGTGCGTACGCAAGGTTTATACATCAGGTCCCTTGTCTTAGCCCAGAATGGGATACTTTTGCGTTAAAGATCAACTAACTGTATGATATCCTTATTACACGACTACTTCTCAAATAAATAAATAGACATGAAATATTGATTTGAGTTGAAACAACATTTCACAGTTTGAGTTTCACAATCTGTTCCATATTAGACTCATGGGTTTCATTTGCATTGTCTGTCACTGACTGTGTCGTAGTCTCATTGCACAGTCCACATACGTGATTAGTGCCACTATAATCTCTCTTAATCAATACTGCACAATCCAGCTGCCAATGAAATAATCCCGTCTGCTCGTGTGTTCGCCATCTCACTCCTTCTCCCTTGACAGCCCTGTATTCTAATGCAAAACAGCCAGATTGATTTGTTATGTGACATTTTAACATGGCCACAGACAGGTTACCTCTAAGTCCTTAAAATGCTTTTAAAAGGCTGCTAAAGACAAGGAAATGGTCAATGAAAGTCATAAAGAGCTCAGAGAGATCCATCTCGTAAAAAGACATGTTTGAAAGTATCATTAGTGTCTAACAGAACTATGTGTACTGTAGGGTTTCTCTGTAAAAAAAAAAAAAAAAATAGGGGAAAAAATGAAAGATCTGTTATAACAAAGTCTTCAATGCTGTTTTATGTCTCAATGAGCTTGTCAGTTTGTACATAAAGTTTGAAGTAGTTTTTGGAAATGACATTTCCATAACTTTCAGATACTCCCAGAGTTGAGACTTGGTCGTAATTTGGTTCCTTTAGAGAAGAGAACAGATCATGGTACCATTACACAAATATGCTTTTTACATTTACAGTTTGTCAGTTTTTGGCAAATGTGAGGTGGTATTATAAGTTACTAAATCTGCTAGTTTCCGGTGTCATTTGTTTGAGTTCAATTTATGATATTTGCTTTATTTATTCCATAACAATTTTTTCAAAGTGCTTTTTGTTGTCAGCCAAGCTCAAATTCATTCTTTGTTGCGTTTATAGCATTTCTCCTTTGTAAAAAAGCAGTGCTGAAATAAAATTTGATCCATTTTTTTTTATTCAGCAGCTGTGATACCTCACCCCACAGTCGGCAGTACCTCTACACACACAAACACATACACACACATTTCCATAATGCTGATGATTCCCAGTGGATTTTATGGGACATACTGCATCTACTAATTGGCACATCAATAATGCTCTCCAGATAATGAGCTGCATCTTACACACTCCTGGGCCTCTTTTGTACATATACATGAATTTAAAGCAATAGTAAAAAATAGATTTTTACTCTCCCTCGTGTCATTCCAGACCCGTATGCTGAAATTTTTCCGTAGATATTTTTCCGTGTGGAAATTTTTAATAATCATACAACAGTAGTTCATAGTGACTAGAGCTGTCAAGCTCCAAAGGGACCATACAAATATTATAAAAGTTAGTTATTAAAAAAGCGTTAGGCATAAAATAGCATTTTATGATGAACAGTAAAAAAAAAAAAAATCCATTGATAATCTTTTTTTTTTTATAAAACTGTTTTGTGTACTTTGTCATTATATAGCAAGTTCTGAATGACAATACATAATAATATTTCTATTTGTGCATCCAACAGATATACAATTTTGAAACGACAGCAGAATGAGTAAATAATTACAGAATTGTCATGCCTGTTAAAACTATTATTTTAAAAACCTGCACTGGCAGACAACATTTATTAATATTGTTTCCGATCCTTCTATCAAAATCTATCAAATGTGTTTTGTTTTGTAAACTGGCCAATCAGTAAAAGAAAAAGAAAAAAGAAAAGCTTGGTTTTGGCTTTTTTCGTTTCGTTTTGTAAACTGGTAAATCTTTTTTTTTTTTTTAAATAACCTCTTTTTTTTTTTTTGCTTGGCTTTGTAAGAGACAGTCACATGTAAAAAAAAGAGTCTTCTGTCATATTAAACAGCTTAACCTGATATTTTACTGCAAAAACACTTACATTTATTTGTATATATACGCACATGCCCTCTGGGCTAACATGAGTGGTGTAGTCATTTTTAAAAAGGAATCTAATGTTGTAGGTACACATCTCCCCCTCCTCTTTTGATGAAAGAGCATGGGTTCAGAGTGACACCCCTGCCTCAGGAGACCCTACCAAACGCTCTCTGCATCTCTGATGAGGTCAGGTCTCCCTGAGCGGGGTTCCCATCTCATTCCTGATTTTAGAGTTCCTTGATTAACATAAAGGTAGTCCTCTGGAGAGTTGGTGTCCAATAACATTGTCCTCCTCTTTGTTTCCCCTCGCTGATTGACACAAGATGGAGGCCCACATTAAATGCCCATCAGCCCCTGTATTAAGTTTGGAAGCAGACAAGTCGTGGAACAATGCGGGGTCAATCCATCCACACAATAAACTAAAAAATCCCTCCCAAGACTCAGAGGAACAGGTTCTTTTTAATAAAATTGTAGACAAATAGATTAACTGGAATAAATCTGCATGTTTTAGGCAAGTGCTTGTGATAGATGCTGTGCATTGGTAGTAAAACAATAAAAGAGAAAAATATTAAACCCTTTATCAAATATTACATGTATTAAATGTTTTGTTTATATTTTATTCAATTTCTTTTTTTTATTTTAAAATATGTAACAGTAAAATTATTTACAATAGTAATGTGGTATAAAGTATAGAATTTCAATATAGAGTGAGCAGTTGTGAGTACCGTCCCGATTATAAACTAAGCGATTATTTCTCACCTTTGTGTGAATTTACATAGCATATACACACTGTGGAAGCTAAAAACAAACAAACAGAATATCTAATTTCTTAAGAAATTAGGTTTTAGGTTTCATCTCTGAACTTTTTGCTATCTTGTAATATCACTCATGAAGTTATTACTGCGTAAGAGCTGAACCAGTTTGCTGTCAAACCTGTTGTCATATTGCAAAATGCCACATTTTACAGCATCTCTCATTGCCCTTCTGATTTAAAGTTCTAATTAAGAAAGCTTGGAGTGCAAATTAAGCGAAATTAGCTGTCAGCGAATTCACATTTAAATGAGTGATGCTAAGACCCTTCCGGTAAGCGTTTAAATAATATAAATTGCTGTTTAAGTGCAGGGCCTAATGTTTGTCTCGAAATTAATGTGACACAAGGCAGCAATGACAATCAAGGCTCTTCTCATACTCATTTGGGCTCGTTTAGAGGCCTTTGTGCCCACACAGCTTTGAGCAAATTAACACAATTGCTGTTTTTTATGAGCAGTCATAAACGGAGGCCCTCCTTTGGCGGCTAATGAAGAGAGAAACAGCTTGTGTTTCGATGTTATGACAGTCGAAGAACAATCATAGCTCCGAAAACAACAACGCTCTCAGACGCCCCATGGCACGCAGAGGATGAGACTAAACAAAGGAGCAAAGATATCTCGTCCTGCTCATGTAAGACGATCTGCTTTGCTCCAGTGGTTCTGTCCTGGAAGCATATGCTTGTAATTTGTGTGTATTATGTCATTTGTGACTGTTGAAAGCACATTTTGACAGATCCCGTTACCCATGCTACTTGGTTACGTTCTCTGAGGAACCCTCCATGAGTTGTTGGGCATGTAAAAAAAATAAAATAAAGAAATATATCACAATCTGTGGTGAATTCACTTAGCAGTCATGCCATGTGGTATTATTCACTAACTACCCTCAATTTAGCTTTTTTATTTAGCTTTTTTACCTACAGCATCTTGATGTAGTTCTTTTGGGCAGGGTGTTCTCTCAATCTTGTTGTTTCACTGAGTTTGAATGACATTAGTTTTATCTCCTGTGTGTTTGTATAGGCTCTGGAGAGTGAGTTTGTGTCCTGTCAGCTGCATCAGTGGATTGATCTGATATTCGGATACAAGCAGCAGGGACCTGAAGCCATCAGAGCTCTCAATGTCTTCTACTACCTGACTTATGAAGGAGCGGTCAACCTCAGCTCCATATCTGACCCCATGCTCAGAGAGGTGAGTGTGTTTCTTTCTCTTACACATATTCTTTCACACACATGGACACATCTCTCTCTCTCTGTTTACTTCATTGCCAACTTGACACATTTGCTCTGTTCTGACCCATTTTTATTGCATTTTTAAACCATCACCTGACTCAAAGAATGTTCCAAAATGTAGTCTTAATTGTATTCTCAGATTACTTCACTTTGGCCAAGGAGCCAATCCTAGAATGCATTGCAATGAGTTCCATGAAAAATAAATTTTCTAAAGCAGGAGAAATTTTGATTATAAATTAAAAAACCTATATTTCATTAAATATTGAAAACAATAATTATGTGTAATTAACATATTTTTGAGTGTACAATGTACACTCAAACAGAAGTGGTGACAGATCTTTTCTTCCATATTATTACGTACATTCGAGTGTAAATATTGGTTCGGGACTTGGTTCTGTTGAACCATTTTTGATTGGTTATTGAGGTGTGGGCATTGCACTCATAAATGAATACAAGCTTGCAGTCGATTGTGGAGGGACAGGGTTTAGACAAATTAAATACAGAAGATCAAGTTATGAGACTTTTCTTATACATTACAAGGTCAAGAAAAAAAATGAAACATACTTGAATGAATCACTTACAGTAAGATCGATAACATGCATTCACAAAATAGTGAATTTTCATTTGATGCTGACTAATGCAACATGCTTTCTCGATTAAAATCAAATGTGAATATAGAGTTTCTGGTGTTATTTATTATGCAAAGCGCTTATATGGTACCATGCCGTTGACCAAAAGAAAGCTGCTTGGTTTGATAGTGATTCTGTGAGAGCTGTGCTTCATACATCACTACACCATTGACAAAGACAATTGACCCTTTTTTGCGCAAGATTTCGCTAATGTGATAGCATCTTTAGAAGACAGCTGCCTCTATAGTCAGTAGGAAGCGAGTCAGCGCACTATGCTTTGGAACAGAGCTATTGTAAACCGGTTTGAGCTTCAACAGACACTTACAAAACATTTGTTTAGCTGTTACCGTGAGACCTGAAGACATACTACAGACTCAATAGGAATCTCTCTTTCTGTGTTTCCTTACCTCTCTGTCTCCCACACTCATTTATTATTCATCTGTTTCTCTCTGGGAGCTGCCACACAGAAGTACAGACCAGTTCAGACAGATCTAGCTCACTAACTGCCCCACTGACAGCTACAGATGTCCTTCATACAGGTCCAGGTACTGCCTTTCCCTCAGGAACAGCACTACCTGATCTGAGACTTAGACAGTTTGAACCGAGAACCAGTTCTTATTCTAATTCGGTTCCATTTAAAAAACAAATACTGGAACTGAATGACTTTCATGATGGATAACTCCTCTTGAACCTCTGCATTCTCTTGCCAGAATTCTGTTATAAATATTTGACATATTTTCTCTTCTGCTTCTGCATCTACAGCACTACAGCAAAAAAGTGTTAATTTGCTTTAGCTGTGAAATGTACTGTACACAATATACACAGGATCCAGTGCTACCATGAAGAAAATGTACCATTCAAGACTATCTGCTTAACATCATCCCAGACTAGCAGGATGTTGGTGTTACTGAACCTGGCATGGTGGTCTGTAATCCATTATTCAAGGACATTGTTATTTGGTTGTTCCTTGCATTATTGTCTTGGATGTGAGCCTAATAGGACTTTGAGCCAGATTGTATTAAACCCCTTATATATAGACTTTGGTCAGAGTAGATGGCATATTTATTAGGACGCAAATTAAAACATTGATGTAAGAGACGAAAGTACAGCAATTGTTGTACCGTTGTATGTCTCTGTGTTGATCGCTCAGGTGGTGCAACGTCTTTGCACAAATTTCCAGTGTATGTATTTGAAATGTTTTGTCAGCTAAAAGACACCAAGGATCTCAAGATTAATGCACTAGACTTCCGTCCCTTCACAGCCTCAGTTTCATTCGTCAAATTAAGTATGACGTCATAGGTGCAATGTGTATCAACTGCAGAGTAAAGCTGTGAAGTCAGTAAGGTTCACATTTAGATCGTGCAACTTGAGCATCCTATACAAACCAATAAATAATACATGTACAAACATTTGGATTTTGTTTGGAGAAAAATATTCTAGACCAGCAGATACAGGTTGCTTTATCCCAGGGCAGCAATTGAAAGCATCAGGCAGTGAATTAAGCAGCTAACTGCACCTCGATCTCGAATCTGCATATATCCACACATCAAGTATCCTCAGCCTTACACATTCTCCGCCTTAATATAACATCTCTGCTGCAGAGGTCACACAGTGCCATTCTTTTCCTGCACTGAAGCAGTTGTGTGGGTGTGAATGTGTGCACTGGGGCAGTCCTCGGTGTCGGAGTGGGTTCTAGTCTTCTGCCCTTCATGCTCAGTGACTGAGGCTGATTAATGACTCGACTCACCTTATTCCCATCTAGGTGTTCTTGCTATCCCTTTAATGGTCTTTCCTTTCCTCCCATGCTTCCTTTCTTTTATCTGTTCATCCTTCTCCATCCAGCCATTCCTTTAGCCATTCATTCTGTCCATCTTTCATTCCTTTCCACCCTCCATGCCCTTAATCCTCTATCTATTTCTTCATCCCTCTATCTGATGCAGATTCATTGCCTATCTGCTCCAGTCATCTCTCCAGTTCAGGCCATTACCCTGCACACTTCCTGTTTAATAAGCAGAGGTTAAATGGGAATCCTTACGCCTGACTGCCTCTCCACCATTCACAGGCCATTAGGGGATCGATAAATTCACATGGCCGTGTCTGCAATCAAACTGTAATAAACACGCTTGAAAAAAAAAAAAAACTTAACAGGATCTAAGTCATAAGAGGAGAGAGAGAGAATGTATTTCAGAACAGAACTGGTGAGCCACACAGTCTTCGAATGAGCATGTATAATTTTTTGTGCAGTATTTTATATGCCACCCATTTCTTCCTTTTACCTTGAAGACATCATTATTCTTAGTTGCACCCAATGCAGGGGCTAAAATTAACACACCAAGCATTAGTAAAAAGTTTTTTTTTTTTTCAAAAAAGCCAATGTCTGGTAAAATTCATAAATCAATCAATACATACATACATACATACATACAGTAGCCATTAGGGATAATTCACAGTGTAGTGAAAGTTGTCATCATTTCCTCACCTTAATGCAATTTCAAACCTGTATGACTTTCTATCTTCGATGGAACACAAAAAAAATAAAGGTGTAAAAGTTGTTCATATTTCTCATTGTTTATGAGCATATAATGAATTCAAGTTGAAAAAGTCAAAAACTTCTGTGTTCTGTGAAAGTCAAGTTAGTCGGTAGTTGAAATGATGTGAATTTTCATTTTGGCGAGTTATTCATGTGCAGTGGACACCAGCGAATTTGTGAGAATGTGATTAGGACAAGGATGAGGAGAAAGAGGGCAAAATGTTAAATTATTTACGATACAATCCTCATGGTTTTGCTTGTTTAGAGATGACCAAAGAATTACCAATATGTGAATTCCAGCATGAAATTACGACGAATGTTGATCTGTAGTGATGCAAAAGTCAATGAATCCCAAAACGACTGCTCACGCTGAGGTCACATTGCAAAAAGTCAGATCTGTATCTAATTTAGAACCACAAAATGTTCACATTGTAATGGACAAATAGATATGAGGAACATGAGCAAAAAAAAAAAAAAAATCAGATTTGGGCCAATTTTACCTGAAGTCTGGACATAGCCAATGTGCTGTTTCTCACTATTATGCAAGAAAGACAAAAAAACATCTAAATAATCACATTACCATAGTGAAAAACAAAACAAAAAAAACATTCATGGCTGGTACATTTTGTCAATTCAGTCACCATTGGCAGGTGTGGCAAAAAGTTCATTTTGGACCCTGACCTCACGTCATAGCTGGTTTGTAGAGCTAAATTAGAAAAATAAACGAGCAGGGTGTAGTTTAGCATGGCTCTTAGAACAGCGTGTGTGTGTGTTTGTCTGGAAACGGCAAGTATGGCACCGGCTCTGGATCTTCTCAAATTGTGTCGTGGGGAAACCAACTGCTGGGTTCTGGTTCTAGTTTTAGTTTTGTATCTTGCATCAGGTCTGGTTTGGGCAGGACTGGGATTTGTCAGTCTGAGCAGCTGAGTTTGGGTTTTTTGATGGCAAGCTGTGTGCGTAATTGCGTCGATCTATGTATGTTGAACCCAGTGTGTGCGCACACGTGTGTGTGCGTGTAGACCATGGGGCGTGTGGAATGTCTCATGGTAGATTAGGGTCATTCAGGAGACTGGGCCATGTTTACTCAGACGGTGATTACTTCCTGTCTTTGCCCTGCCACAACACACACAAAAAAAAGAACATGACAGGCACAAAGAGCTCCCTTTGCACGTGAATTAAACACACAAACACAGTCCTTTTCCTTCAAATCAAGTCTCACTTTTACTCAAGTCCGATACTAATCTGACCTTTAAAAGGCTTAAATTTAGGGAGAATCCACCCCCCCTAAAATCTTCTAAGTATTCATAGGAACCTCATTATGCAAAATAAGAAATTTGGCCACAGCTTGTTGTACAGCTAAATTACCTTGTCAAGGGTTAGAGTAAATCAGGTGACTCATGAAGCATGACTCTCTCTCTGTCTCTCTCTCTCTCTCTCTCTCTCTCTCTCTCTCTCTCTCTCTCTCTCTCTCTCTCTCTCTCTCTCTGTGTTTGTGTACAATGCATACATACGGGATATTTCCAACATTTAAATGTGTAGAATATAAAGAGACCTCATCAGATACGCACTAGTGCCCCTAAAGAGATTGGCCCCTCTAGCATGGCTAGCACCCATATAACGTTCTCTCCTCATTGGCTGGACGCTCTGACCTGAGAACTGCCTCATTCTACTGTGGTAGTAAATGTCAAGAGAGGATTTAATGAAGATGGGGCAGGTGCCTGGGCAAGACGCATCCGCATATTAGCTTAAACAAACTGTCCCAGTGTGACACACTCGACCTTCATTTGGTTTGCGATGCCAACTTCTATGCCACACTGCTGAATGACATTAGTTCACAGCGTAACATGAAGCTAGACGATCTGTTTCAGATTTTGGTGTATGTTTGAGAAACTTACTGAGGGATTGAATGGAGTGGATAAATATGTAGAAGATTCTTTACTTTTTATGTGGGGTAAAGTTTAGGGGTGTGACGATACACTTAGTTCACGAGAGGAGATGATACACGATATTGGGTTCACGAGAACGAGACAAGACGATATTTTAACCCTATTAAATCTTCAATTATGAAATATATGACTGGAAAATGTGTCTTTTATCCGACGGAAAGTCACAAAATGCAAAACAATGCAGGTGCGTTTTGAAATGGTTTAACCAGAGCTGTACGATTCTGGATAAATTGAGAATCACATTTTTTATTTATTTTTTTCAAAAAGAGATCACGATTCTCCCACAATTCTGAACAGACAACTACACAAAATAACTTAATGTAATAATGCAATTTACTAGAGGTTCTGGCAAAATGTTAATCGCTTCAGTCTATTTAAAATGTTTAAACTTGGTTTAAATGAATGATTCAATGACTCAGCTTTTTTGAACTAATTTCTTGAATGATTCAATGACAAATAAAATTTGTCGCCACCTGGTGGCTCAACGATTGTAATTGATACAATCGTTGTTTGAAGTGTCATGTTAATTTCAAGGGTGATTTAGTCTATTTTGATTGATCGCTTCTGTAGACATCAGTGTTTTCATCTGAAATATAAACTTTTATCCCAGTGTTTCTGTGATAATATGAATATGTAACATAGAAATAATGATACTATGTGTTTAAAAATACTATTTGTGAAGCTGTTTCATACCTACACATGATAAATGCTTCCTCTGGGTCAGCGGCAGCGCCAACGCAGATTTGAATGTTCCGGTGTGATATGGTCAAAGGTTTAATAGACGAATTGTCATCTTATCTTATCAAACCATTTGTCCTATTTGAGGTCGTGGCGATGCTGGAGCCTATCCCCATTTCTCTGGCCAATGGCAGGACATCACCCTGCCTGGAAGGCCAGTCCATCACAGGGCTAAAATGTATTTTTTCATTTTATTATATAATGTAATTTATTAATAATAAAATAATGTAATTAGTATAATAAAATTACATTTTAAATGTTTAGATTTTGAATCCCTGATGATTTCCAGTGTAGACTTTTGGACCCCACTGTATGTGCATTGCCTGAACAATTGACAACTAGGTGCAGAACGGTATACTCTATATGGAATATCCCTCATATCTTTGTTTTTGTTCCCCAAATTTAATATGCCATCTACTCTTACTAAGGACTATGAAACAACATTGGTGAGATTAAAGCCTTAGACAAACACTGATCTGACTGGAAAAAAGACTGAAAGATCTTATACTGTGAATAGGTGACGCAATGTGGTTTAGCCTAGCACCAAATACTTGGCCAAGTAAAGAAGAACTGTTGCCACACAGAGTGTCAAATTCCATTGCTTTTAAGTTGAAATCAACCAATCATATAATTGAAACGAGGTGACTTCTCTTGTATGGCCTCCTCTGAACCCCGCTTCTTTACAATGGTATTTCCAGACACAGTAGTCCTGTCATCTGTGTTCCATCAGTGCCTCTAATGAGATCACTAGTGGATTTACACTATATAAAGAAGAGTTTGTGTGGTGAAGTCTATTGTTACCAGCAGAGTGGGCCGAACCAGATCAAAGCGGGAGAGCGGAATGAAGAAAGAGCGATGAAGAGCAGAATAAGAGTTAGAAACAGACGGAAAGGATTGATGTAAAGAAGGGCAGTCTGAGCAGTGGAAAGAGAGAGAGGTGGAAGAGGGAAGAAATACAATGAGAGGGACGTGGAAAGCCTCCTGACTTCCTGATGCTTTCATGAATACAGTTAGAGCCAGAGCAGTCAGACGAGAGCTGGGACATTTCTGGCATACCCCTCTCTCTCTTTAGCGTGGGATCGGGACAGTTTCTCTATTGATTCATGGAAATCCCATTTGAGGGATACTTGCACTAATGTAGTAGGGCCAGGCTATCAAATATTCACAATGTATTAACAATGATTTTGACATCAATAGAAAATTAGGCAATTTCACTAGCCTGACTTCGTCATACTCATATTCTAGTCAGAATGTGAGTCTGATACTGCTCCATAGGGCTTTGATTATGAGGCGTGTCTTAACCGAACCAGGAAAAAAACAAAAACTCTGCACTCAATTGGATAGACCTACAACCAATCAGAGCAACGCAGTAAGTGACGTATGTTGAGCTACGCATAGTTGTCAACAGAACTCAAATGCACGCACGCTGGAAGTAGTAGTAAAATAATGAGTGTTGCTTCTTTTACTTGGTCCTCCATGAGTGCGCCCAAAGGAGAAACCACAACGACCACAGGGATTTCATTGCGTCCCATCTTCTTAGCGACCATCGGAGCCAGCTGATAAATTAAACTTTTGCCGAATCCCGTAGGAAGGACGACAAACATCTTTCCGATCGACAAATGCCTTGATTGCAGTTCTCTGTTCGTCTTTTAAAATTAATGCGCTGTCGATTTCTTTTACAACAGACGCGATAGCGGAATCTATACATCTCAATTCTCCAGCTGCAGTCATCTTTGAGGGAAACCAGTTCAACCCAAGCGCTCTTTTATAACGTGATGATTACGTAACTGCAGATCATCTGTCCATCATCGTATAAAGCCCGCCCTGGCAATTTGATTGGCCCGACGATTTTTGAACCGATCGTAATTACTCCTCAATGGATCAAGTCCAGACCGAACTTCCCGACCAAAAAATGTTGTGAGCGGGGCTCGGGTTGGCATCCAGGCTACAATTCCACGAATATCACAGCAATTTTAATGCACTTTTTTTGGCTTTATTTGTAGTTTCATGACACTTCCTTGTGTCATCATTGTTTAATAACACCTCTGATTTAAAACGGCAGAAAAATCTGTGTTAGAGTAAGTGTGTTTAATTAATTTCCATTAATAAATTGAATTAATTAAATAGAATATAAACTCAAATTCAGGGATTTGTTGCATCATTGCTGATATTTTTGTATATATTAAAATGTTACTATATATATATATATATATGTGTGTGTGGGTGTGTTTGTGTAATTTAATGTGTAATTGTGTAAATAAATAGTTTGGTGCATACCTGAAAATAATTAAATATTCTTCACTGTGTCCATTTAGTAATGTTCAAATAATGTTAAAACATGCTGTAACATATTTTTAGCTACAGCAAACAACCCTAAAAGATAGATGTGAACCTACTATTTTCTGCCTTTTATTTGTCAGCGTCGTGCTCATACTCAGCGTCGTCTCTCTCTCTTCTTCCATACACACTATTATCTGCTTTAACACACTCTCACAAAGATAAATGTACATATATCCAGCTTCTGTATTTCCCTTTCCCATTAGTATGATCATTATTTCCACCACTTTTCTTTTTTTCACTTTTTTTCCCCACACACACTCACACACTCACACACAGACACACATACTCACACACATTACTTTGGGTCTGTATTAGTTGATATTGTCCAGGGCAAGTTAGCCACTGTCTCAAGGTGACGTTTATAGTCCTATATCTCTTCATTAGTGCCACCAAACCTCCATAATGCTCACTCTCTGTCTTTCTCAGGCTGTGGAGTCTCAAATCAGAAGTTTTGGACAGACACCCTGCCAGCTGCTAATTGAGCCCCACATGCCACGCAGCTCTGCCATGCAGGTGGTGAGTAACACGCACACAAAAACACACTCACTGTCTAATTTGACATGCAGACCATTACAAATGTATTAACCTGTATACAAAAGTTTATGCAGCAGACATTTACATAGTCTAAAATAATTAAAACTAAAACTGAAATAAAAATGTATAAAAAAGTCATATCGAAATATTTTTTTTAAATAATAAAAATGACAAAATCGATAATATGAAAATGAAAACTAATTTAAAAATAGTAAAAAAAAAAGCTACGTGGAACAATAAAAACATTGTCTTCTCTCTCTCTCTCTCTCTCTCTCTCTCTCTCTCTCTCTCTCTCTCTCTCTCTCTCTCTCTCTCTCTCTCTCTCTCTTGTTTTTAAAACTCTATAACAAAACAGATTTGCATAGTCTCTTTCCTCCTCATTAGCTCTATACACAGGAAACTAGCATTCTTGTATACCGCGGACCCAGTCAAATCTGGAACCATTATGTGCATTTACACCACAGAAGGGTGGAAAGGTTTTCTGGTTTGTAAAAAAAAAAAATGTCATTGTAAACACCAAGTAGTGTTTAAAACAGCAACTTATTTTGGAAAACTGCCAAAGCAAAACTAGATTTCATAAAACTAGATTGTGTCCATTGTAATCATTCTATAACATCTCTTCAGTTGATACAAATCCCATTCTTTATATTTGCTTCTCCCTTACCAGCTCCAGCCACTTTGTTTTTATGTTGATCTAAAATAAAATAATACGTTTTGGTTCGGGTAGGGAGAAATATAGACCCATTAATTGTTTTGTGCTTTACTTCCCCTCTCCTCACTCCTGTCCTCTTTCAGTGAGCCCCCAGCGTGAGAAAGGGTCCCAGAAGTGGGAAAAGTCCTATAGTTGAGCGGAGTACTCTGAGGTGATAGGGTCTTTAGTCTAGAAACTGAGAGACTGTGGGTGACGGCCTAGAAGCCCCCATTAGCTGTGTGTTTCTGTGGCGATGACAGCCCCCGCCTGCCTGTGTGGAAACAAACTCTCACATTCTCCTCTAAATGTCCGCATGCAGATATAGTTATAGGCTCAGAACTGGATTTCTGACTTTACATAACGCTGACACTTAATTTGAACAGCCTTTGAACACACAACTTCATAATAATCCCACAATCCCAAGCACAGAGTCTAAAACTGACTGTGAAAGGCTAAATAAACATCACTCTGAACTGGAGATCTGATACAAAGGGTAGAATTGTTTGTTTATGATTGTGAGTGCAATCATGCAATCAATGGAAATTCATTGGTCAAAAGGTATGGGAACCCAGTAAAATTATCTTGTGTCAGAAGTGCTCAAATCGTAAATGTTTCTATAAGCTTCTGTGCCTTTATGTACATGATCTTACCCAATGCTTACTGTACCATTTGTTTTTTTTACAAAGAAGTATTTTTACACAGGCTTATTATCTTTTTTTGTTCTTTAAAATTACTAATGAAATAATTTAATGGAGGAAAAAAAATCACTTGGAGGAAATCAGGCATCAAAAGCAGCATTCTGAAATAAGAGAGATGGCATGACAAGACACTTCTTTTTTAAATTAACATTACATTTTCATGTGATCCTGTATATGTACTCTCCGTAATCCTTTCATCTATCTCTTTCACTCTCTGCCTGCACTTCTTTCTCTCCCTCTTCCGTGTCTCCAGTAGGTTAATGAGGGTAGATCCTCTGTTTAATGCCACTCACAGGCTGAACACTGTTTAAGGCCCTAGCTGTCTGTCTAATTTACTGCAGGCACACCAATTAGCCCCGTGTCTCCATACTGTGTCTAAAAATCACACACACATGTCAGGATTAGACATCACAGACATACGACAACAGTTGGACTAGAATAGGGCACAATTTAATGGTGACATTGAGTGAGAGACATACTAAAATATATGAGCTTATTATTTATAAGCAAATAAATATACTTCCTACAATAGTTTTTTATAATATTTAAAATACTAATACAAAATAGACCTTCTTTAAAGTGATTAAACTGTGCTGTAAATAAATATCATTATAAAGCAGCAGCCAATCAGATTGCTCAATGAGAGTGACATCGCAGCTGCCCAGTCTGAACACTATCTCCTGCTTCTACAAACACAGCCCTGCCTCACTGAGGAAGTCAACTTGATGGTTGGATGACTTTGCTGCCAAGTAATCAAACAGCTGTGTATGTGCATATACCTTTTTTTAGCTTCTCTTCATCTAGAATGGAACGTGAGATAAAGTAGATTATAATGTTACTAATGGAGGTTGCAATACATTGTGGCAGCCTAAAGGAAAGTTCAGATTCATTTGAAATCTGCTCTGATCTTTTGCAACTTTGTCTTTACAAACTGTTTTCCTTCTGTTTATCTTGTACTCATTACCCGGGAAATGTAACTTGCCTGGCAGAAGCATTTTTGGAATTCTCTAAGGTCCAAGAATGTCAAATCTTTCATTGATTTTTTTGTGAAACGACAGTGTGTATCTGCTTTGATCTCTCTGTCTGACCTCTTTTCTCCAGCTTTAAAGGCCCCCTGTAGTCAATAATTGTATCCCTTAAAACGTACTCGGTTACTAACGTAACCTCGGTTCTCTCTAGAGAGGGAACGAGTACTGCGTAATAGCTTACGCTAGGGGAAAAACTCTTTTCCGCGAGATATTGAAGCCAAAAATTATCCTTAATTTTTTATTAATGTAAAACGCTTTGCAGCAGCAAGCAGACATAGGCGAAACAGCTCGCGCGCCTATTGGTTGCTCTGCAGCAAATGCAGCAGCCTATCGAGAGAGACTCTGCGTGACGTAATGACCAATGGGGGCAATTCGCGCCCATATCGTCACGTCCCGCCAGAAGGGGCGTGGTCTCACCCTATAAATATGCTCGTTAGGCTGATACAAGCTGGTTTTTATCACTGAAGCGAACCAGAGCGTATACCAAGCACGGCAAGATACGCAGTACTCGTTCCCTCTCTAGAGAGAACCGAGGTTACGTTAGTAACCGAGTACGTTCTCTTACGAGAGTATCTCTCGTACTGCGTAATAGCTTACGCTAGGGGAACACAATGCAACACGCCGTGCGTACAGGGATCCAACACCAAAGTCCCGGGGGCCGAAGCCCAGGGCTCATGTAGTGCATAATCACCATAAACTCACATAGAGTGTAGGAAGAGAGGCTGGAAGCGTCATTCCCTATAAAAAAGCACCCAGCGGGGCTATTATATGACAATAAAACGCGCAGCCAGGGTGAAAGCTTTCAGCCTGATCTGGGTGGCCATACGTGTGTCAACACTCATGGGGCTGCAGAAAACTCAGCATCTGGGCCGCACAGCGGGGCAGATAGCACTGAATTTTAGACCGCCAAAAGCTTAGCTTGTAAGGCGGGTACCTCCAGGTTATAGTATTTTATAAATGTAGACGGCGAGGCCCAGCCCGCGGCCGTACAGATATATTGCAGGGAAACCCCGCTCGACCATGCCCACGAAGAGGCCACGCCTCTCGTGGAGTGCGCCCTGACACCCAAGGGGCACTGTAGGCCCTTCGCAGAGTAAGCGAGCGCAATGGCATCCACTATCCATCTGGATAGGCTCTGTTTTGAGGCGGCGAGTCCCTTGGAACGCCCGCCAAACAAAACAAAAAGCTGCTCCGTCTGTCTGAAAACAGACGAGCGTGACACATAAGCTCTCAATGCCCTGAAGGGGGCAAAGGAGACTCGCATCCTCCTCCTCACTGAGAACCGGAAGGGCAGACAGGGAAATTACCTGGGCCCTGAACGGTGTATTGAGGGATTTCGGGACATACCCGTGCTTTGGTTTGAGAATGACCTTCGAGTCATTAGGCCCAAACTCCATACACGACGCGCTTACTGAAAGCGCCTGTAAGTCCCCTATGCGCTTCACTGAAGCGAGAGCCATGAGAAACACTGTTTTGAACGACAGGTGTTTCATGTCCACCAGCTGGATTGGCTCGAACGGGGCGCCTTTCATGGCCTCCAGGACCGTGGAAAGGTCCCACGTCGGGACTGAAGGGGGCCTGGGAGGGTTCAGCCTCCGAGCTCCCCTAAGGAAACGCACGACTAAGTCGTTTTTCCCCAGCGACTGGCCAGACACCGGTTTTGCAAACGTTGCTATGGCCGCCACATATACTTTGAGCGTGGATGGGGTCCTGCCCTTATCCAGTAGCTCTTGAAGGAAGGAAAGCACTTCCGAAACCCCGCATTCCACAGGTGAAAAGCTCTGGGCTTGACACCATGCAGAGAAAACAGACCATTTCGAGGAGTAGAGCCGCCTGGTAGACGGAGCTCTAGCCTGCGCGATCGTGTTTAACATTCCTTCTGAGAGGCTAGCGGGTACCCGTTGATGGGCCATGCGTGCAGGGACCACAACCCCGGGCGAGGGTGCCAAATCGAGCCCTCCGCCTGAGAGAGGAGGTCTCTCCTCAATGGTACAGGCCATGGGGCAGTGCTGGTCAGCTGCATCAGGGCAGGGAACCACGTCTGGTTTGTCCAGAGCGGAGCTACGAGCAGCACTGGGCATCCGTTCTCCCTGATTCGTTCCAACACCTGAGGCAGGAGCGAGACAGGAGGAAAAGCATATAGGGGGCAGCGGGGCCAAACATGAGCCAGCGCGTCCTTGCTTTTCGAGAAAAACTCCGGGCAATGAGCGTTTTCGTGGGACGCGAATAGGTCCATCTGTGCTCTGCCGAACGTTTTCCACAGCAGCTGGACCGTCTGCGGGTGCAGCGACCATTCCCCTGCTGGAACATTGTTCCTGCACAGTCTGTCTGGTCCCACATTCAGGTGACCAGGCACGTGCGCTGCTCTCAGTGAGAGCAGGTTGTGCTGAGCCCAGACCAGGAGGCGTTCCGTCAGCCTGTGAAGGTTTCGTGACCTGACGCCGCCCTGGCGATTTATGTATGCCACCACTGACATGTTGTCCGACCGGACCAAGACGTGGTGGCCTGTTACCTGGGGACAAAAACGCCGTAGCGCTTTGTCGACTGCTATCATCTCCAAGCAGT